GTTCTTTTTTCTTTCTTTTTTTCTTTTTTGTCTTTTTTTAAGGCAGGGTCTTCCTGTAGCCCAGCTGGCCTGGAACTCATGATGTAGACCAGGCTGGCCTTGAACTCACAGAGATCCACCTGCCTCTGTCTCCAAGTGCTGGCACTAAATGTGTGTGTGCCACCACACCTGGCTGAGGCAAGTTTTATTTACAGACTTCAACCAAAATAAAATGAGGCTAGATGTGGTGGTGCATGCCTTTAATCTTGGCTCTCAGGAGGCAGAAGCAGGTGGATCACTGTGAGTTCAAATCCAGCCTGGTCTACATAGTGAGTTTCAGGCCAGGGCTATAGTAAGTGAGACCCTGTGTCCAAAGACGAGAGAGAGAACTCAGAACGTGGAAGCAATTAAACTGCTTGCTGTCTATTAAGGTGGATTAAAGTGATCTGCACAAATGAAAAACAACACTGCTCTTCTTACTAAGTGCATTTTGCCGCCCTCCCCAACCCAAGTTGTATTAACCTGTAACAGATTTGTCTTAATTAAAAATTATTTTTTTAGGGGCCTGGAGAGCTGGTTCAGCAGTTAAAAACACTGACTTTTCTTGCAGAAGACCTGGGTTCGAATCCTGGCACCCACATGGCAGCTAACAACTGTCCGTAACTCCAGTTCTAGGGGATCCCAGGGGATCTGCTGGCCTCTTCTGTCCTCCGTGGGTATTGCATGACATGGGTGCACTTACATACATGCAGGCATAACATTCATATACATAAAATAAAAATAATAAAAAATTTTTTAAAATTATTTTTTAGTCAGGTGTGGTGGCGCATACCTTCAGTCCCAGCACTCTGGAGGCAGAGGCAAGCGGATCTCTGTGAGTTCAAGGCCAGCCTGGTCTACATAGTGAGTTCCAGGCCAGCTGGAGCTACAGGGAGACCTTGTCTCAAAAAGACCAAAAAAAAAATCTTAAAAAAATTTTTAATTTTTAATATGGCCAGTATGATACAGTCCACACAAACAAAAGCTTTTGGGGGTCCCCAATTTTTGAGAGTATGAAATAGTCCTCACTTAGGGATATTAAACCTTACTACACACCCAGTCAATGACAGACCCAAGTGTCACACCACGGCACCTGGCTTCTAGGCCTTGTTGATGTAAGGCCTTCAAAAATATCTCTTTTTACCTCTAAGAAACTGGGAACAGACCATATCAGGATTAGGGAATTCTAGGCAGGTAAACAGAAACCTGTTCCTACTTTTAGTACACCCGTAGGAGTCTTGGCATTCAATGCTCTCCTACCTACAGCTCTTCTCAGCTGGTCTGAAACTCACTATGTAGACCAGGCTGGACTTGAACTCAGAGATCTGCCAGCCTCTGCTTCCTGAGTACTAGGATTAAAGGCGTGTGCCACCACACCTGGTTAGATAGACGATTTTTTTTTGTTGTTTTTTGGTCTTTTTGAGACAGGGTCTCCCTGTAGCCCCAGCTGTCCTGGAACTCACTTTGTAGACTACGCTGGCCTTGAACTCACAGAGATCTGCCTGCCTCTGCCTCTCAAGTGCTGGGATTAAAGGCATGCGCCACCATGCCTGGCAATAGATGAATTTTTAAGATTTAATTTGATCTTATATGTATGAGTGCTTGCCTGCATGTATGTATATGTGCCATGTGTGGTGCCCTTGGAGCAAGATCTCCTGGAACTGGAGTAATAGGTGATTGTGAGCTGCCATATGGATGCTGGGAATTGAATCCAGGTCCTCTTCAAGAGCAGCCAGTGCTCTTAACTGCTGAGCTATCACTCCAGCACCCCCATTCTTTTTTACTGAAAAAAATTTTAATGTGTGTTTGTATATGATATGTATGTGGACATACATGTGTACAGCATACAGGTAGCGGTCAGAGCACAACTTACAGGAGTTGGTTCCTTCCTTCCACCATGTTGGTCCCAGGGATTGTCAGGCTTGGTTGCCAGCACCTTTACTCTCTAAGCCATCTTGCTATCTCTTCTTTAGACACTGTAACTAAAAGGGCCAGCGAGATGGCTGAGCTGGTAAAAGCGCTTGCTGTTCAAGCCTGAGGACATACCTGAGTTCAATTCCTAGAAGTCACATTCAAAAGCTGGATTCAGTGGCATGTATCTATAATCCCAGCAATCCTACAGCAAGATATGAAGTGCAGACAGAAGAATCACTTAGAAGATTTCAGGCCAGCTAGCCTACAGTGTGAAGCCTGGCAGAAACAAGACAGATCTTAACAAGGAAAGGAGAACCAACTGACTCCTGAAAGTTGTCCTCCAACTTCTACATAGGTGACATGGCACATGCGCACATGCTCACTCACAAAGATACACACACGCACACACACACACACACACACACACACTAATAAAAAGTTTTAAAGAAGGGGCTGGAGAGATGGCTCAGTGGTTAAGAACACTGTTCTTGCAGAAGACCCAGGTTTGAATCCCAGAACCCACATGGCAGCTAATAACTGTAACTCCAGTTCCAGGGGATCCAGCTGTCTCTTCTGTCCTCTGAGGGCATTGCATGACACGGGTGCACTTGCCTACATGCAGTCAATACATGCGTACACATAAAATAATAATAATATTAAAATTAAAGACTTAAAAGATGTGCACTCCTGTCTTGATTCAGGCATTTTTTTTCTTGGTCTTTTTGAGACAGGGTCTCCCTGTAGCCCCAGTTGTCCTGGAACTCAGTATGTAGACCAGGCTGTCCTTGAACTCACAGAGATCCACCTGCCTCTGCCTCCCAAGTGCTGGGATTAAAGGTGTGCGCCACCACGCCTGGCTTTCTCAAGCTTTTTATTTATTTATTTTTTTAATTTTTAAATTTTTTTGTCTTTTTGAGACAGGGTCTCCCTGTAGCTCCAGCTGTCCTGGAACTCACTATGTAAACCAGGCTGGCCTTGAACTCACAGAGATCTGCCTGCCTCTGCCTCCCAAGTGCTGGGATTAAAGGCATGCGCCACCATGCCTGGCTTTCTCAAGCTTTGTAAAAACCATAACCCACAGTAAGAAATGACTTTCATGTTAAATGCAGTGTGTGTGTGTGTGGGGGGTGTATACCTGAAACAAAAGCTTCATGAAACCATATCCTTAACACGTGATTTTTTTTCTGTTTGGTGTTAGGGATTGAGCCCAGAGCTTCATGCCTGCTAATCATATGCTCTACCACCACTGAGCTACATCTCCAACCGCCATAATTTCTAATTTATTACTTTGCTAGACCAAAGTCACAGTTAAACTGATTTTACAATCACGTGCAGTTTGAAAACCCTGCTCTACTAAGGTACTTCTACAGTACAGTATACCAAAGGCTGAGATGAGTTAATATAAGCAGTTCCCAACTAAGGGTCAGAATCTTTCCAAAGTGCTCAGCATTCCCTGTGACACCTGACAGGTGGTTGGAAAGGGACGACACCATCACATTCATCTCTCAACGAGAGGATCCTGGGAGGGAGAAAACATTCTTCCATTACATAGATGGAAGAGTGAGGTTCAAAGATTAACAGGACTTAACCCTGATCCTGGCGCTCCCAAACAGTATTCTTTCTAGTGTATTAACAGCATTCCCCTAGGTTTATAGGATAGCTTCCTCCAACCCCAGTCCTCCAACAAACACATCCAACCCGAATCCAGCAGGAACCTGAAGAGCCTAATTGCCATTTATGGGGACAGTCTATTGAGATTATTCTAAATTATACCTCGAGCCCTTAAAACACATCTTCATTGTAGTTGCAAGTTTCTAACACCCAGTTTACTCCTAAAATAAGCCACTGAGGTGCCAGTAGTATTCTGATTTCAGAGGCAGTCGGGAGTTAGCAGGGGCCAGCCTACCATTTCTCAGCACACACCAGGGAAAATACAGGCCTTCCTAGCCTGGAGTAAGATTTGCTCTTTGCTGAGTGATTTACCTCATCTTCATCTTCACTTAGCTTTCTGAAGTCTGAAAATGTCAATGAAGTTCCCCATCCCCCCTGCCCCACCCCCGAAAAAGGAAGACGCTCTCCGGCTCAGCATTAAAAGAGCCCTGCCTTTAATATGTTGATGGGAACTACATCCCTTGTGCACATGTCTGAGGCAGACTTTATGCCCCTAAAAATGGCAGCTGGGTGGTGGTGGTTGGTTTCTGAGACAACAGTCTGAACATTACTGGGCTCTTAAACCCACCTCTAGGCCTGGCAGAGTAGCCCCAAGATGAAAGCCACAAATCTTTGCACTGCCCTCTGTCTGTGCAAGGTTATGGTTAGTGCATTGCAGTCCCAGGAGAGGCCTAGCTTCCTGCCTCTCACCCGGGCTAGTAGCTCAAATGAGGGTAAAAGGTCACATATATCTGACTGAAAACCTACCATGAGTAGGGTCTGAGGAACAGGCACTGGATGCAGGCATGCTCTTCCTCTCCTCTCCATATGTTCATGGATGAGGAAGTATGCTTTCTGCTTGTGGGTTTTCTTTTTTGGTCTTTTTTGAGACAGGGTCTCCTTGTAGCCCCAGCTGTCCTGGAACTCGCTATGTAGACCAGGCTGGCCTTGAATTCACAGAGATCCGCCTGCCTCTGCCTCCCGAGTGCTGGGATTAAAGGCATGCGCCACCATGCCTGGTTTGCTTGTGGGTTTTTAAGATGGGCTTATGTAGCTCAGGCTAGCCTAGAACTTTCTTTGTATCCAAGGATGACTTTGTACTCCCGATCCTCCTTCTTCCACTTCCTGAGTGCTGGGATTACAGGTGCCATCATGCTTAGCATTTACCCACGGTGTACCATGTGTGTGCAGGAGCCCACCATAGTCAGGTTTCTGGTCCCCTGGAACTGGAGTTAAAGATAGGTGTAAGTCCCTATATGGGTGCTGGGGACTGAATCTGGGTCCTTGAGAGCAGCCAGTGCTCTTAACTACTAAGCCATCTCTCCAGCCCCCTTTACCCAGGGCTTCTTGCCATCATCTCTATTCCATTTTCTATGAGTAGGCATTTCTACCCTCAAGTATGAACAAATGAACATGTCTCAAGTACTTTATTTTTTATTTTAATTTTTTTAGGGAAGGTACAGTTTCACAAGAAACAGTGATTTTTTTTTTCAAACAATAGAAAAATGTTTTTTTAAAAAAATCTATTGTCTTACAAGAAAAGTCTGTTCAGCCAGTGCTGGGCCAATCAGAGTGGAGAATCCAGTGAGGTGGAAGTTCCCTACAGGAAGTTCAGAGGTGTCCACTGTCTCTCGTCTAGTTCTATAAGGCTCCAAGGGGCCAGTTCAGCTTAACATGGGGAACCAGCTCACAGACGAAGGCTCCAGGGTCCCTCTGGTTGGAACACAGGGTGGCTCATTCCCCAGGAGGCTGCATCTGCTTACAGAACTCATCAAACTGCTGCTGCTCCAGTTCCGTCATGACTCTATTGAGGGCATAGATCTGAAGAGACAAACAGATGTGTTAGCACCGGAAAGAGCTGCTCGGTGTCTTCAGACACAATGGGCCGAGTCATCTGGAAATGCCGGAACTGCAGCAGGAATTATGTGAGGACAGCGATTGGGAAAGGGGCGGCAGATACTGGTTCCGTCTGGGGACTGACGAAGGAAGCAGTGAAGTGGGGGCTTGGGCTGTAGGGGATGGCACTTGACAGGTGATGGCAGGTATTACGTGTGAGTGATGTGATAGATCAGGTCTCAAACTCCAAGTATGCTCATGTGGAGTACACAGAATAGGGGAGCCGGAGAAAGACAAGCATGTTGGGGCCAGGCCTAGGAATACAGATTTTCATCTGCAGGCTCTAGAGACAGCAAAGGTATGCAGGGGAGCAACCCAGCTGTGCTTTGGAAAAGACAACTGGAGGCTACTGTGGACAGGGTCGAAGGGACAGGGATTATCAACTGCTTAGGAGGCATCTGTAAAAGTCCAGGGAGGAGGCAGTGGGGACATGGCCTAGTGCACGCCATGCAGTAGAAAGAAAACCTCGAAAGACAGTCCAAGATGAGATACCACACCGCCACCTTCCCTTATCCTCACAGTGAATACTCTGCTACCAAAGGAAAACTTCCTGGTTTAGAAGGAAGAAAATAAAGGCGTCCGTACATAGGAGACAGAACTTGATTAACTGAAGACGGCCAGGCATGGTGGCACATGCTTACAATCCCTGCTTGCTGGAGCTTGACGCAGAAGCATCAAGAGTTCAAGCAATCTGAAAATGTCAATGAAACAAATTTCTAGAAAAATTAAAATTATCAAAACTTACTGGAAAGTTCAAACGGTCCTAAAATCCTCAAGGAAAATGGAGTTTCACAAAATACTGAAAATAGTTACAAACAAGTCATTCATTCTACAAATGATTCCCAAATAGTATAACACAGATAGTAAAACCCTTAAGTGTTACCTTGTCTCTTTTACCACAATAAAAAACAAATTTGAATGATTAAAAAAATATTGAGGAAATACTGAGGGTTAGCGAGTTGGCTAGGCAGGTAAAGGCACTTGCTGCTAAGCCTGACAACCTGAGTTCCATCCCTGGAACCCACAAGGTAGAAGTTGTCTTCTAATCTCCACATGTACTGTGGCACATGCATGCCCATACACATACAACACACACAAATAAATTTTGGGGGGGAGGTTTGAGACAGGGTCTCCCTGTAGTCCCCAACTGGCCTGGAACTTGCTATGTAGACCACGCTGGCCTCGAACTCATAGAGATCTATGTGCCTCTGTCTCCTGAGTGCTGGGATTACAGGTGTGTGCCACCACGCCCAGCTCATAAATGTAATTTTAAAAAATGCTGAGTGGGGTTCCCAGCTGCTGCAGCACTGTCTCTTGCTCACCGAGCTCCAGCTGAAGGAGAAGAGGGGTAAGTAAGGAGTTGTCTATACCATGGCTTGAACAAAGCAGTCTGCCCACAAATCCACCTGTGGTAAAGCACCCAGGAAACAACTGGCTACAGAAGCCACTCGGAGAGTGCGCCCTCTACTGGAGGGGTGAAGAAACCTCACCATTACAGGCCTGGTACTGTGGCACTAGGTGAAATTAGATGCTTATCATAAGTCCACTGAACTTCTGATTCACAAACTCCCCTTCCAGTGGTTGATCTGAGAAACTGCTCAGGACTTCAAAATAGATCTGTATTTCCAGAGTGCAGCTATTGGTGCTTTGCAGGAGGTAAGTGAGGGCTATCTTTTTGAAGATACCAATCTGAGTGCTATCCATGCCAAACATGTAACAATTATGCCAAAAGATATCTAGCTAGCACACCACATACTTGGAGAACGTGCTTAAGAATACACTACGAGGGGAAGCATTTCATTCTAAAAATTTTTTTCCCTCTTCTTCTTGTTATCACTAGTTTTGAATGTTAGATATTTTTTCCTATGGGGGTCAAAAGGTATATGATTGAGAGTGGAAAAGAGGGGACAGTTTTTCATGTACATTTGGGTGTGAATTTTTAAAATAAATTCAGGATGTAAAGCATTAATGCAAGTCAAAAGGTTTCAGTGAACATTTCAACAGTTCAACTTTATAACAATTATAAATAAACCTGTTAAATTAAAAAAAAAATGCTGAGTGAAGGGAGCCAGTCACAGAATACAGTATCTACCACCAACTTAAAAAATAGAGCTTGCCACCAGGCATGGTGGTGCACACCTTTAATCCCAGCACTTGGGAGGCAGGAGACAGAGGCAGGTGGATCTCTGTGAGTTCAAGGCCAGCCTGGTCTACACAGTGAGTTCCAGGCCAGCTGGGGCTACAGAGAGTCCCTGTCTCAAAAAAAAAAAAAAAAAAAAGAAAGAAAAATAAAAAGAAACAGAGCTTGGCTCAGTGTTTAAGAGCTTGGATATTATTGCAGAGGACCCGGGTTCAGTTCCCAGCATCCACATGGCAGCTAACAACCATCTATAATTCCAGTTCCAGGGGATCCAACGCCCTCTTCTGGCTTCCATGGGCATTGTATAACATGGGTGCTCTTATAAACATGCAGGCAAAACAGACACATAAAATAAAAATAATAAATACTGTTGAAAAAAAAAAAAAGAAATAGGGTCTGGAGAGAGAGATGGTTCAGTGGTTAAGAGCACTCGATGCTCTTGCAGAACACCTAGGTTTGGTTCCCAGCACCCATACAGCAGCTGATACCTGTCCCTAACTCAAGTTCCAGGGGATCTGATGCCCTCTTCTGGCCTCTGCGGACACTGTGGAAGCCCTCTTCTGACCTCCCTGGGCACTGCATGACACAGGTGCCCTTACATGAATGTGGGCAACACACTCATACACATAAAATAAAAATACTAAAAAAAAAAAATACAACTTGAAGCCAGGCATAGTGGTACATAAATGAAAGTTCAGAAACATGCAAAATTAAATGACTTATACTATAAAATACTATTCAGGAGTACATACAACAGAGATAGAAAATTCATACAGAACAGCAAAGGAATGATTATCAAAAGACCTGGCAAAGGGAGCAGCTAGTATGAACAGGTCAGGAACATGAGCAGGAGGGGGCACACAGTGCTTCCAAGTTACTAGTCTATTCCCTACTCCCCTCTTTTCTTATTGAGATACAGCCTCACTATGTTGCTCAGACTGCTCTTGAACTCATGGACTCAAGTGATCCACCTCAGTCTCCCCAGTGCTGAGAATACAAGTGTATCACTGTGCTTAGCCTCAAGTCTATTTCCTTGAGGAAAGTTAGGTAGTTGTTCTAGTTCCTTTCTCCATTGCTGTGACAAAACACTCTGACCACTACCAACTTGGGGAGGTTTATTGGGCTTACATCTCCCAGGTCAGGTTCATCTGGGAGCCCAAGGTAGGAACTCAGGGCAGGAACCTGGAGGCAGGAGCTGAAGCACAGGCCATGGAGGAACACTGCTTACTGGCTTGCTCCCCTGGCCCCTGCTCAGCCTGCTTTCTTATGTGACACAGGCCCACCTGCTCAGGGGTGGTACCACCCACAGTGGGCTGGGCCCTCCCACATCACTCAACAATCAAGAGGATGCCCCACAGACATGGCCACAGGCCAGTCCCGTGGACGTAATTCCCCAATTGAGGCTCCCTCAACCCAGGTATGTCAAGTTGACTAGCTAGCCAGTACAGTAGATACGTGGTGTTTTTGGTTTTTATTTTTATGTGTATGAGTGTATTTCCTGCATGTGTGTAAGTGCACCTGTGTCGTGCAATGACCAGGGAGGTCAGAAGGCATCAAATTTCCCTGGAACCGGAGTTACAGATGGTTGTTAGCCACCATATGGGTGCTGGGAATTGAACCTGGTCTTCTGCAAGAGCAGTCAGCGCTCTTAACTGCTGAGTCATCTCTCCAGACCCTTTTTTGGTCTTTTTGAGACAGGGTCTCTGTAGCCCCAACAGCTGGTCTGGAACTCACTATGTAGACCAGGCTGGCCTTGAACTCACAGAGGTCTATCTGCCTCTGCCTCTGGAGTGCTGGGAATTAAAGGCATGTGTCACCATGCCCGGCGTGTTTTTTTTTTTGATATGGGGTCTTCCTGTGGCTCCAGCTGGCCTGGAACTCACTATGTAGACTGGGCTAACCTCAAATTCACAGAGATAGCCTGCCTCTGCCTCTGGGATTAAAGGTGTGTGCCCCCACTCCCAGCTGTTTTACTCTTCTTTAAATTACACATATATTATATATACATATACACTTCCACTCCCACTCATCCCTCACATCTCTCCCTCATAGTTAACTTTCTGGAATGTGGCATCTTTGTCTCGTCCTCCCTGCAAGGGGTGCTGGCACATTCCTTTGGAAGATTACATGATGTTACAGGAAATACACAGAAAATAGCAAGACAGCTGTAGATGGGTGCTGGGATTATGGGCTGTTGGTACAGCACAAGCACGTGCAGATCCTGGGTTCAATCTCCAGGAAACAAAACCAAAAGGCAATAAAGGCAGGAAGGGCTGCTCAGAACGTAGGCCGCCACTCATCAACTACCGGACTCTGGTCACATCATTTCTCCTTGAAGCAAAAACAACATGCACATAACAGGGCATTTGCTTTATATACCCCTACCTGGTTCCAGGAAGCATTTACAAAGGGCAAGTGGGAAACAGTAACACTTGTCTTAGAGTCGGGGCTGTGTGTGTTCACACATGTGCAGACTTGGCAAAGGCTCAATGAGTGCCAGCTGCTACCTCGGTGTAAGTCCAGCTCTGCACCTCAGCAGGTGGATGCACACATATCCAGCTGGTGTTTTATAGTGCACAGGACAAGAACACATGGGCTGCTTGGAAGCACAGACGCCTTCTGTGTGCCAGGCACTATGTTAAGAGTGCTTTACATATAAACTTCTATTCCTTCTGACAGTCCGTGAGGTGGGAACCACCCTCATTTTACCAAGGAGGCATCAAGGAAGCAGTGCTCAGAGAGGTTAAATGTTTTGTCTGAGATCACATGGGAAGAGCTGGGATTGGAAGTCAAACAAATACTGTAAATGTAGAACCCCAGGAAGGATATGGATAAGGACAGGGGCACTGCCCTCCATCTATCTTTACAGGATGCTGGGAACTGTTTCATAGAGTCATTTTTCTTTCTTTTTTTTTTTTTTGTTTTTTGGTCTTTTTGAGACAGGGTTTCCCTGTAGCCCCAGCTGGCCTGGAACTCACTATGTAGACCAGGCTGGCCTTGAACTCACAGAAATCTGCCTGCCTCTGCCTCCCGAGTGCTGGGACTGAAGGCGTGTGCCACCATGCCCGGCTATTTCTTTTTTTGATTTATTTTTATTTTATGTGTATGAATGATATGCCTACATGTATATAAGTAAACCTGTGTTGTGCAGTTCCAGTGGAAGAGGGTGTCGGATGCCCTGGAACCGGAGTTACAGATGGTTATTAGTTACCACATGGGTGCTGGGAATCGAACCCAGGTCTTCTGCAAGAGCAGTCAGTGCTCTTAACCGCTGAACCCTCTCTCCAGTCCCACAGAGCCATTTCTTACAGCAGCCCCTAAATTGCTTGACAAAGCACAAAGCAATTAAGATTATCTATGGCCTGGATCCAGGTAAAGAAATGGGCAGACTCATTTACAGAGCCCGCCTTAATCCATAGGAAAACTTCAGGGTACAGAGTAACTTCAGACATGTGCCCAAGTTTATTATGTTTCCTGGAATACAAGGACTAGGAAGGCAGGAATTGTATCGTTTCATCCAATCACATGCCTCACGTTCACAGGCTGGTGCTTGGCCCATAGCAGCAGCTCAATATTTGTTTAATGAATGGATTCAATATACAAAATTTAAAGTTTGACCATATCCACTGTCAGACCCAAAAGAAATGAAAAGTGTTTTCTACTGCCAATAGGGGAGCAAACTTGTACAATCCCTTTGAAAGCAATTTGGTTTTACATGTCTAGTAAAACAAACCGTAACTGGTAATTCTTCTGGTCAAATACCCTACAGAGATTCTAGCACAGGTGCCAAGACAGTTTCTAAAAGTTTTTTTTCACATCAATGTTTGTAAAAGCAAAACCACTATAAATAAAGGAAGGGATCCATGTACTAAAGAAGGTGGTTGATAAAGCAGGAACTGTGAAGAATGGTGGGAACAGACTCCTAGGCTAACATGAATAGCTTTAAAAAAAGTCATGCAAGCTGGGAGTGGTGGCACATGCCTTTAATCCCAGCACTCTGGAGGCAGAGGCTGGTGGATCTGAGTTCAAGGCCAGCCTGGTCAGCTGGGACTCAACAAAACAAAACAAAATTATTATTATGAGTGTGTATGCATGATGTGTGTGCCACATCTCTCAAGTGGAGGTCAGAGGACAACTTTGTGGAGTGTTTCTCCCTCCCACCTATACATGGATTCAGGGAACAACTCAGGTCATCAGGCTTGCTGGGCAAGCTCCTTTCCCCACCGAGCCTTCTTGCCCTGCAATGTGTACTGTTGTCAAAGGACACACCGGCACTTAGGGCATGCTCGCTCGCTCGCTCTGATTCCTTTACATGGCTGTCTTCTCTCCTTTCATCCTCCATTAGGGTTCCTACCACAAAAGCCAGGAGTCATCAGGTGGGGATTCTGACACTAACTTGGCAGGTGACTCTGGGCTGCCATTCAGTCTCTTGGACCCAGATGGTCTGGCTTTGGAAGCACCCGTGTCTCGCCTGGAGGTGAGCAGGGCTTCCCAGCACAGCACCTTCTCCAGTGGGCAGCAGACACAGGCATGCAGAGCCCCTTCTTTGATCTCACCTCTGCTCTCTGTCTTTGCTTCAGCTCCTGCTGGGCAGATTTCTGCTTAGCCTTCTCCACTCTGCTGACAGGTTCTTTAACTTTGGATTTTTCTTTCCGGCCAGGTGGGTCCATGGCTTGGCTTTTGACTGCTCTGACCTGATGGTAATGAAAGAGGCAGATCTTTAAAAGAGAGGTGCTCGCTAGTACCCTCCCCACTGATGCCTTAGCACCCCCTTCCCTGACAGGTGGGCCTGAGTGTGTCCTGTCTGCCAGCACCTTGCTAGGCCAGTCTCCTCCCCACTTGGAGTCTTTATTTTCTGCACAATGGGACGTCCAACAGTCATTTCCTGGACCTCCCTCAATAAAGCATCAGACGAGAAGGCCGGAGATGCGGCTCCTACCCGGGGGCGCGCGGTCCAGCGCGGGGCGGTTACGGCCACCGAGGCCGGGGCCTCGCAGGGGGCGGACCTTCGCCTGCCCTGGCTTCCCGCCTCCGCCCGTAGAGGTCAGCGGGCACCGCTCGCGGAGTTCCTGCACCCGGACGCAGCCCTCCCCGCCCGGCCAGCCCCCTCCGCGGCAAGATGGCGGCCCAGGAACCCGCGCCCTTCCTTACCCGGCCTTCGGCTCCCGACCGCCGCCGCGTCGCAGACCAGGCCCCACGCGGGGTCGGGCCTCGCCTTCCCCTTCAGTGGGACCCCAGGCGCCAGCCCGCTGCGGTCGGACTGGACCGGCCGCCGGGGAGGGCGGGGCGGAGGGCGGGGCCCAGGCCAGAGGCTCTCTGCGGGCTGGAGCTGCAGCGCGTGCGCGGGGAGCATGCTGGAGGGCCGGGCCGGGTGGGCCTGGGCG